TCTCTTATGGTTGTAAATATAAAATATCCTAGAAAAGCAAGAAAGTGTACATAAGAAAAGTCAATCTATGGAAAGTTGTATAGTGGCCAAACTCATTCAAAATAAGAATAGCAAGAGTCAAAATGGAAAAGTAAGAAATTATTGTGAAACCTTATTCATACAAGAAGAAAAATAATGAAGTAGTAGAGTGTGTTAGAGCAGCAGTGTAAGAATTCTAACACTTACACAGTGTTACTATAGTAATAGGAAGAGTCAATTTGAGGAGGGAGGGAGAATATTATGAAAAAAGTTTGGAATAGTCTATCTTAACTCTCATATGACTGAGGAAAAGCCTGAGATTCCCACTGAAATGCTAAGTTGACTTCTTGTCATCCTTGTGGGCAATCTGGATGAGCCACTGATAATTCAGCTACTTTTAAAACAAAAAAATGAACTGCTCATTTTTCTCAACTTATATGCCTTTATTTCTTCCAAATCCTGGAGAAGGTTTTTGAGTCTAGAGATGATACTCAAGTCTTCTAGCATATCTGTTCATTTTACGTTGTATTTTGAGAAGTGATTGTTAATTTCTCCTAAAGACACTGGGGGAGGGTGGCGCCTGTGGCTCCAAGGAATAGGGCACTGGTCCCATATACCAGAGGTGGTGGGTTCAAACCCAGCCCCAGCCAAAAAAAAAAAAAAAGACTTTGGGGGAATTGAGAATGAAACTTAGAATTGGGGGCAGGAGATGTGGTCATTGTCTTTGACCTCTCCGTAGACATTCTTCCTCAAAATTTTTCTGGTCCTGCACATTTTTGACACTTTCAATCAATCAGTTAATGACAAATAAATATAACAACTTGAATTGCTTACAACCACAAAATACGGTTAGCCTATGGTCATTAGTAAGGCCTTGTAGCCATTCTTTTCATGATAAATGGGTATTTCCAATGCTCTCTGTAGTGGATAGATGCAGGTGAGTAGTTTTTACTTGGGGCTGGGGGGAATGTCTTACCTAAATCTTCTGAACTTGATGTTGCATTAGGGAGACAAGATTATATAACCTTTGTCCTGATGTCTATATTATTAATTTGCTATATTGGGGAATTTTTAAGATGTTCTCTAACTCTTAGCAAGAATATAGATACACATAACCTAATTTATGTTCTGAGTACATTCAGGAATGTTTATAGGCAACAAGTTGCATACAATGCCTGGGTCAGTTTCTTAGCAGAGCACTGGAGTTGGACTGCCTTTGGTAAAATAAGGGTACTAGGTACAAAATAACAATAATAACAGTCTGATTTATTGTACATCTCTGTAACTTACACCTTGCTCCTTCCACCATTCTAGGATGTATGTCATTTATTTACAAATAATCCAGGAGTGATATGATCTATATTGAAAACTTCCCGGCCAGGGATGGGGCACACACCTATCATCCTAGCACTTTGGGAGGCTGAGGCAGGAAGGTCACTGAAGGCCAGGTGTTTGAGATAACTCTGGGAAACATGGTGAGACCCCATATCTACAAAAACATTAAAAAATTAGGCAGTGTGCTGGCGCATGCCTATAGTGCCATCTACTTGAGCCTAGAAGTCTGATGTTATCGTGAGCTATGACTTGGTCACTGCACTCCAGGCTAGGCGAAGACGGAGAGAGTTAGAACCTATCTTAAAAAAATATATCACAGACTTGTGGACTACATGAACACCCCACATCATGGCCTGACCATTTCCCTCTAGCTCTTCTATTTTGCGTAATAGGTGTTTGGTGCTTATGCTCCATATTAAGCTATAATCTTCTTGAGTGCTATTCATCTGTTCTCCTAAAGTGCCTTTGCACCCAGCTGATAAGTACTAAACATCTGTTTGTTGAATGAATACATTTTTCTGTTGATCTGAGTTCTCCAAATGGTAAGAACAGCAATGGATTAAAATATTTCAAAGCCTTTATGCCAATAGATGTAACCAGCCATTCTAAAGAAAGAAATAGCACGATAATGATAACAATAGCATCATTTCAACATTTTTATAATGAAGCCAACAGTAAAAAAACTATTGTGCTGCTCACAGGAATTAATTAATATAACTAGGGTTACTAATTTAACGTATTAATTTTTAGCAGATTAATTCCTCCAGAGTTGTTAATGAATAGTGCTTCTTTCTTTCCTAATGGAACCTCTACAGTGCAAATGTTTCAGAAGTAAAATGCTTTATCCTGCAGGTGTTTGTGTGCTGACTTTTATTAGTCCTCTCATTGCGGGTAAATTTTAGGCTGGCAGTTTAAAATTACCATCTATAGTCCTAATGCTGAAATTTTCAAAGGTGTAATTAGGAAGGGAAGGACCTCCAGTGTCCATAACACAAAACGTCAGTGCTTCTAATAATTAAATGTGATAACATTTAAATCATTTCCACTGACTCTAAAACAATAAAATCTATCAGGATAGCATCTAGATAGTAGATGATTCCACAGGAAAGAGCTCAGACCTCCATCAAGTTAAGAATCGATAGAATCCAGGCAAATGAGGTAGAGTCAAAGGCCCAGGTCTCAGCTCAGGAGAAGCCCTTCTGTACGGGAGCTATATTAAATTATCCCAGCTAATGTAAAATCAACCTGGATGTAAAAGATAAAAGGGTACAGTTCTCACAAATGATCACTTATCACTCCATTCTGAAATGCACGCTGCATTCATTATAGATCGAAATGCCACTCAAATTTCATCATTTAGTCGGGTTTTGAAACAGCCGAACCATTAACAGAAGAGAGTGGCTTTTTATATTTATACAACCAGTGACTAATGAAACATTACACCTAGAGTGCAAAGGGGGGAAAAGAACTTTATTTGGTAATGAACCCAATTGGAGCCCTTTTGAAAAACAGTGTAGTGTGGTTTCACTGTTTCATCGAGCCTCTCATTACTCGTGTCAATAATCCGAGGTAAACCACTGTTGAACTTCACAGCATTTATTGAGCAGCATGAATAGCATTAATCTACGGGGTGCTTTTGATGAATTGGAGTTCAAAAAGCAAAACCAAAAATGACTTCTTACAAAGTGCTTCAAGAAGTATTTATTAAAAATACGTCAACTGCCAACTACCTAAAGGTAGCTTGGCTATTTAGGAAACCACGCTGTTGGCTAGCTTGCAAACACGGGGAAAACATGAATTTTCTTCACTTGAATTACTTTAAAAAAAAAAAAACCAAATGATATACTTTCATCTAAGTATATTTTTTCTCTTTCACGTCCCTCTTAATTCTCGATAGTTTTATGTCATATTGCTTATGACAAGGTGTTACCTGCTACCTACCATGGCCTCAGATTCTCAGAAAAATATTAGGGAGGTGATAAAAGAACTTAGGAAATCAAGGATAGATCAGACAGATTATACTTTACCTACGTGACTGCATGACCTAAACTTCCAGGCACTATGAACCAAAATCTGCTCAGATCCTGCTCTAAGGATCTAACTTTTCATCTTGACTTTCCCAGTGGTGTTATAAACCTGGTGGTAGTAAGGCTGCCAGGGTTTGCCTACAGGGGGTTATCACATTCCATTCCAATTTATCAGTCTAATTTGATTAGGCTGATCTTTCCCAAAGTTGAATATTGCCTAATCCATGAGGTAATAGAAATTAAACTCTCAGCTCTTCAGTCTTTGGGATGTTTATGTGAATGGTCTAGTCATCATGAGCCTTTATTTGCCTACCAGCAAAGTGGAATTAAGAATTGAGAGATCTGATACACTAAAGCAATTTGACAAAAAGAAAACTGCAAATTGACTGACTATGTTACTTTTGGTTAAAGTATAGCCTGTCGAGTAACAAAATAAATATCTGGGAAGAATAAGCCTAATCAGATTATTTTTTTCCTAAAATTAAACATCTTTATAAAAAAATGAGACTTGACCCCCCCCAAACAATTCTTTTGGAAAAGTATAGAATTAATCCATGCTTCTGACAGCATTCTATAGCTGAATTCATGGAGAAAACAGCAAATCAACACGCTCCATTCAGGTTTTTAAGCTCCACTGGATTTCTTACGACATCCTGTTATCTACGGTATTCATATCTTATTATGGTGAGTACAATGCTAGTTTCAGGAAAGTTTTCCTTGCTGAAATACACGAGGAAATTGCTACATTTTCTAATGTGTCTTGTTCTTGGAGATTCACAATGCACCCTGGCATATATAAATAAACTCTGAGAAGTAGCACAATAAAGAAACATGTCTAATTTTATTATTGCAGTTTATATCAATTTCACGAAAGGTCATCTCCATCTAACAAGATGTTAAAGCCACCTAACTATGTATGAACCCCCCACTGTGGCTATATTCACCATTGGTTATTATTATTTCTTTGTGTGACTTTGTTATATTTACTCAAATCATAAGACAAATACAGTAAAAAATTCTATAGAAATTTTAAATTATAATTCATAAGAAATTAATGCAGTTCAATATTCTATACCTTTGTTGATCTCAGAGACACACTATCATTCTTTCTGAAATGTGAACAATTATAAAGTAAGGCTTATAAAGGTAATACAATCAAAATTAGCTAAAGGGAAATATAATTTTAATGATTAATAATTTAAATCATGTCTTTGTAAAATTCAAAGAGAACCTTCAATATAGCTTACTGGTCATGATTAAAATTTAATAAAGACATTTATATAGAGAAAACTTTATACAAAAATAATTTTTATTTTATGTGTATTTAAGTGTATGTTGTAATTTTATTTTGTCAGTTTCGCACATAATTAATTTCAAATATTGGAGATACTTAGCCTTCTGAAAAGTTTTTCTGAAAGAAAAAAATCTGTTGTAATTTTATTTTGTTAGTTTCATACATAATTAATTTCAAACATTGGAGATACTTAGCCTTCTGAAAAGTTTTTCTGAAAGAAAAAACTCTCTTGAATTTTATTTATTATTTTGAAGATGCAGATACATTTAAACAGCTTTTCAGTTTATTCATCATTTTATATATAATGTTTTCAAAAAGGTACTCACCATGTACGATGAGCACATACTCTGCACTGCTTTGGCCAATGGTGTTCGTTGCTTCACATCGATATGTACCATTATCCGTTTTGTTCAGGAAAAGAATGTTTAGCTCCCTACCACTCACAACCATTCGGTCAGGGTCTGGTAATTCTCCACCATCCTTCGTCCACAAAACAGGTTCTGGCCTATTGGATTCAAGCATGCATATAGATAAGAAAAATAAGAAATGTTACGTATTTGAGAATTAAGGGAATCAAACAATTTATAAACATTTAACATTTAATTTCTGCATAACCAAGTGCTAACTTCATTAAGATACCAAACTACCATATACCCTCACTCAAAAGAGAGGTGTGGCAAATGTAATTTAATTCTATTCTAATTAACTAGGCAGATATGCATTAGGGAACTAATCTGTTGAGTCACTGTAGTAGTCATCAATGGTGCCCTCACCAGGTCCTGTGGCCTGGTCACACACATCTAACATGGGAGGACAGCCTTGGGCTATTGGAACAAGACTTCCACAGAGGTACCTGGAATTACGTCTTGGCACTCAAGGCCATCCCTGTGACCCAGCTCTACCTGAAACTACCTGAAATTTCCCCTTTTTACCTTGTTTGTTTTTCTCATTCTCTTAAAGTCTTTTCCTTAGAGTGCTCCTTTAATAAAACCTTGGAAAGAATACCCATCTCAAAACATGCTTTCATCAAAGAACATATAAATGGTATATAAGTTCTTCTTTTAAAATCTCTATGAAAAATTTCTTTGTTTGATACTAATAAATGATAAGAATGGTTTTAAATATCTATAACCACATGCTGGTAATACCAGTTATCTTAGGTGCTTTGCATATATTTTCTATAGTACTCAAAAGAACATTTTGATAAATATTATTTTTTTAATTTACTACATCTACAAATAGAGATCAGAGAAGACTCAGAACCTGGTCTGACTCCATAGCTGATGCTTTGCCCACTGCCTCCTGCTTTCTACCATGATGACTGCTTTGTTAGACTTCTACATAAAAATGTTCTAATTTAATCATGATTTGATCACACAGAATTATTTTTTGAAAAGCTTTATTAATTTGTTCCATTTGGTAGAATTGAATTTCTGTTCTATCATGAGCACAGCTAGAACTTAGGTCTCGTGAGTGATGTCTCTGGTCATGGCATCCTTTCTAAGAGAAAGACTATATATTTTTTGGATAAAATTTTGTAAAAGACAAAGTTACGAAAATTTAATAACAAAGAGTGAAAAAAAATCAGAAGAAGCAGATCGGCACTGTTGTCAAGGAATTTCCCACACTTGGAGAGGGTGATACTGTGAAAGAATAAGAAATATACATTTCTCTCTGCCTCCTGCTCTTCATGTAGAACTCCTGAAACCATTATCGGGAGGGGTTCCAGGAGAATTTTTTCCCCTAATATTTGGTCTTTGATCCCATTTCCTTACCCAGAACTCCTAGGACCTTTGCACATTTACGTGTTACTGCACATGCTAAGAAATGTGTCGTTAGATGATTTTGTCATTGCGTGAACATCACACGTATACTTAGACGAATCTGGGTGGCATAGCCTACTACACACCTCGGCTCTGTGTGGGCCATCATTGAACAAAATGTTGTTCTGTGGTGCATAACTGTGACTTTCTGAGTGATAAGAGTGTCTGACACAGGTTTTTTTTCCAAATGCATTTATTTTTTAAATGACATATATGTTGTATTTATCATGTAAAAATCTGATGTTTTAAGCTACACGTACATTGTAGAATGCTTATTTTTTTCAGACACACAGTTTTTAAACCCCTTGAAATTTTCAGAGTGATAGAAAAAAATTTGTTATGATGAGATGGTCCCATCAGACGTTCTAATGAGAAGCTCTTGGTGGGCATCAAGATGGAGGCACAGCAGGAAAAGGCATGGAAGCTCTGCACCTCTTCCTAAATATTTTATTCTATCTATCGCATCATCTGGCTCTTCCTCTGTATCTTTTATAATATCCTTTATAATAAATGAATAAACATATGTCAAATGCTTCTCTGTGTTCTGTGAGCCATCATAGCAAATTAATCAAACCCAAGGAGGGAGCCATGGGAACTCCTGTCTGCACTCAGAATTACAGGTGACAACCTACCACTTGTGAGTGGCATCTGAGATGGGGGTTAGTCTTGTGGGACTGAGTTCTCAATCTGTAGCATCTGACACTATTGCCAGAGTGTCAGAATTGAACTGAGAACACTCAAGCTGGTGTTCCATAGAGAACTGATTGTCGGTAGGGAAAGGTCCCCACATGCATTTTCATGACCAGAGATGAAGTGTTACAGTAAGTGTCTGAACAGAGAGAATAAGTGGTTTGAATTTTCTTATGTCTTCAGAGAGAGAAGTCAAACAGAGGAAAATTTTATCATAACTGTATCCATAAATTTTCTGAAAGAGTGTTCTATGATAGCAAATTAAGAAAGTAGGTAAAATAAATAATTAGAAAATAGATAAGAATTTGTATCATTCAATTATATAAACAAGTCGCCGTCTTAATAAAAGTCAAACCATTAATACTTAACTTGTTGCCTATATCCTCTATATCCTAACCTCTGTTTGTATTTATTAATTCTTATTTTAAACAGTTGGATAATTTAGTACCATGTATATCCTTAACATCCCTCAAGAGGCAAACAAACAACAACAACCAAAAGGTAAAATAAAACTATGGCTTGTAACATAGTTGAAATAGTAAAAGTTTTGTCCTTTTACAAAGTCATAGTGGGCCAATATTAGCATAATAGTTATATTAAAGATAATTTGAATTTTAGAGCATTCATCTCTATAATACTACTCAAGGGAAGTATTTTAGCATATTAAGAAGCACTGTTTCCTTGATGTACAATTTGGAATTTTTAAACACAGAGAGATATAATTATATGCACGGATCTATACACTTTCATGCACTCAACATTATCCTCCCAAATCAAAACCATCACGATTTTTCTCTACTTGAGTTCATAAGCATTGAATCTTAAAGCACATGACTCTGTAAATTCAGATATTTATTTTAAATTATTGGTAGAAAAATATAAAGATCTACATCAATTATTCAAATGGTCAGTTTGTATTTAAAAACATTTTCTCAAAAAAAAAAAAAAATCTCCCTCATAGAAAATAATGAAAAACACCTACACACTTGGTTCACAGGAGGATGTAATGGTGTAAGTCTCTGCTGACACAGAACGGAATCCTTCAAGGATTCTTCCTCCTACCCTGTGTGGTAATCTTCTAGGTGGCAAAAGAGCATCGTACGATGCAATTTTAATGAAACAGAGGTTAGAGTTTACGTGTAGATTAAAAATAGCCTTGCACATATTCCCAATTAGTATTTAAAATGTTCAAGGTTCTTAATATCAGCATAAAAATATTAAGTGGTTTAGCAAGACTTGATACAATTTGTGTTTCATCTTAATAAAGAGGGCCCTTAGGCTTTCTCTAATTGGAACACAGAAATGATGGAGTTTCTTGCTGCAAATGAATAACAATCTTCCCTGCTGTTCAAGCGTCCAAAAAGATCATTCTGAAGGTGGTTCCAGTCTACTCTTTTTCCAGTGTGTACTCCTGAAGAAACAGGACAGTGAAAACAGCATCGGGAGAGATGGTAACACTGTGAAGCTCAACAGTGAGAATATGAATATACTCAGTACCGAGTTCCCCGTTTAGTAGCAGAAATAATTACAAGTTCAAAATCTTTTATTTGCAAAATGCAATTTGATTTTGTTTCTGACAATCAAATGTATATCACTATAACGAGGTTTATTTTTCCATACACCTAAGGACATTTTTGCGACAGTTATCTCCTACAGCAACAGAAAACAAAAAAGAAAATAAAAAGAGAAACCAGTGGGCTCAGTGGCTCACACATGTAATCCTAGCACTTAGAAGGATTGTTTGCCTGACCTCACGGGTTAGAGACAAGTCTGAGGCACACTGAGACCTCGTCTCTAAAAAGAGCTGGGTGTTGTGGCAGGCACCTGTGGTCCCAGCTATTCAGGAGGCGGAGATAAGAGAATACCTTGAACCCAAGAGTTTGAAGTTGCTGTGAGCTATGACACCACAGCACTCTATTGAGGGCAACAAAGTGAGACTCTGTCTCAAAAAAAAAAAAAAAGAGAGAGAGAGAGAGAAACCAAATATTATTATGAATTTATTTTCATATAAGGCATTGGTGGAATTTTTTTAATCTTAACAGATTTTTAAAAAATTGTTAAATCAGTGCTTTGCTTTGTACTTACCTCATAAAAGATTCTGCATTTGTTTTGCAACTCCTATTTACAGAATATATGATATAAGCCCAATTACTGTCACTGAAACTCTTTTAGCTTATCTTTGGGGAATTTATTCTGTGAAGGTTTGTCATAGCAATAGTCCCTCTAATCTTTTCAATGTATATGGGATTATTTGCTCCTTAGGTATTGATGAGAAGGACTTCATCCTCTCTTTCCAACTTATACTTGAGAAGAACAAAGAATAGGCAGTTCAGTTATGGAAAGGTGAGACCTATAACAGAGGTCCCCTAGGAAAAGAACTTTCCTAGTATTCTTGCAAAAGTGAACAAGAATAAAACATCCCCCAAAATCTGAAACACTCTCCAATGTCTCTCTTTTTCCAAATGGTGGTATCTTCTTTGGATCCTACACTGTCTTTTCCTTCATAAGAATAGTGTTATGGGCTTGGTGTCCACTGTGCAGTGGTTAGGGCGCCGGCCACAGGAACCAGGGCTGGTGGGTTTGAACCCATCCAAGGCCTGCTAAACAAACAAGCAACAACAACAACAACAAAACAAAAAATATCCAGGCATTTTGGCGGGTACCTGTAGTCCCAGCTACTGGGGAGGCTGAGGCAAGACAATCATTTGAGCCCAAGAGTTTCAGGCTGCTGTGAGCTGTGACACTAATAACACTCTACCCAGGGTGACAAAGTGAGACTCTGTCTCCAAAAGAAAAAAAAAAAAAAAGAAAGCAAGGAAAAAAAAAAAGAAAAAGAAAAGAACAGCATTATGTTTGGCTCTAACACTAAAATTAATCCTATGAAAATCGAACGTGCTTTCCTAGAGGAAAGAAAAAGTTGCTGTAATGGCATTCAGGTAAACATCTTGTTTTGGCTTCAAGAGGAGGAAAACAAAATTTGGAAATATTCATG